ATTATATTAGTACCACTTTCAGTTGGAAATATTGGGGATAAGCCAAAATCAGCTATTTTAGCTTCTAACTTTTCATTCAATAAGATGTTTGCAGGCTTCACATCTCTATGGACTATGGGTGGCTTACAACCATAATGCAGATACTCCAATCCTACATTTCAAATATAATGGTGTTTATATATATATTAAGCATCGGAATAGTAATATCTCATTCAGTACTGATTAAGATTAACCTTGTGCAGCGTTCACTGCTATGCGCAATCTATCTTTCCAACTCAAGATGTAGTCATCTTTACATGTGCATCAAAATCAGCAGCGAATTTATCACATTGGGCTATTCAATAAATTGATGTCACAAGATATGCTTGGAAACATATAAAGGTCAAATGGTGTGCACGCTTGCATAAATAATTAGGACAAATTTGGAGGAACCTGACAGATAGTTTTCCAAGTTTCCCTTGGCCATCTACTCATAGACAAACCCCATATACGTGCCTTCCATGCAATATCCAATTTTTATGGTGGACTCTCAGCAGGAGCTTAATCTGTAATTCAACGCACATATGAAACAGTAAGACATGGGAATTTCCTCACAATTTGGCATGAATTATTACTCTGCTATCGCATACCTCTGCATAGAACTCTTTGTAACCTTGGGTGGATGATGGAGACAGCATCTTGACAGCTACTTCAGTGTGATCCAAGTAGCGATAATTTTCATCCAGGAAGCCATAATAAACTGTTCCAAATCCTCCTTTACCAAGAACCCTGTCGAAGTTTTTGGTAATCGATAGAACATCTGAATATGTAAATTGCCGATTTCTTGATTCAAAAGAATCATTTCTATCTTCTAACTCTGTTTCCATCTCCCCAAAAACTGAAAATAAAAAAAGTTTAATAAGTAAATATATATATCAAGAAAATAGTCAATTGTATCCCACAGTATATGTCACTATGTTCGAGTACCTTTCTTTTTCCTCGTTTTTAGGCTGAAGAAGATGGCCAACACTATTATGAAAGCGGAAAATGTAGCAAGTGATGCAATTACTGGAACAACATATTTGTTTTTCGTTTTCTCACATGAAGCCGAGAGACAAATATTTGGATTTTCGTCCACACTTGCATCAATTGATTGACAACAAAATAAGAAATTATTAGAAATAGTGATAATCTCCTATATTACCAGAAAGCAATCTCTTTGTTCAACAAAATAAATCACTATCCCTTTGATTTGCTGAAAGTTCAACGCCACCCAAAGGTCTCTGTTTCAAAGTTTCAGAATATTATATTGGATGGATATTAACTGCAGAGAGTTTTGTGATGTTTTTTGAAACTATTCAGGGAGGTGATATTTTAGAAAACTCATGGGATCCAACAAAATTACCCTCATTGGATGTTTACAAGAAGAGGCAAACCTTAAAGTAAGCAATCCTCTGTTCCATCTTTCCCTGAGTTCATCTGGAAGTGATCCTCTGAGATTGTTTCTTTTTAAGTTTCTGGAAAGTTAGACAATAAACATGAATAGCTAGCCCCTTATTTGTCCTATTAAAATATTACCACTTTCAGCTATAATTAATAACAAAGTAATTAACTCACAGGTTTCTCAAAGATGGCAGTCGAGATAAAACTTCAGGTATTGTTCCACTTAAGCTATTGTCTGATAAATCCCAGTAAATTCAATTTCTATTATGAATATTTCTTACTTGGGTTAATGACAGAAGAATTTATACTTACAGAGATTCTAGTAATGTCAGTTCAGCGAAATGTAGCGATATTTCCCCAGTTAATCCACTCGAAGACATGTTCCTATTTAAGGTTCAATTGTTATTAAAGAGATTGTGACATAACCAAGATAAAAATATAACTCCTGTGTACTTATTGAAAGGCACAATTAGACTTACAATGATACGATTCTGGGGGAATAATTATTCTCGTAGCTGCAGTTAAGGCCATCCCACCAGTAACCTTTGGGGGCACATGGATCTCCTTGCCAGTTTCTTTTGACACCGTATGTTGATTTTATATTAATAATAGCACGAACTAAAATTTGCAGAAGTTCAGAAGAAAAGGGAAAGTGTTACAAAGAAAAAGAAATTCACACCATGTGCATGTAGTGATAAGCATATGTTCAGTAAAGCATACCATCATTTTGGTCTGTTTGCAATTGTGAGAATTGTTTTACCATGTAGATCTCAATGGCATTCATAATGGGTGGAAGGTCTGATGTCTCAGTTTTATTGAGTTTAAGCCCGACTGATCCAGTTCCTTGTGTCACCGGTGATGAGGTGTAAACCGTGTCTGGGAATAACTTATAATTAACAGGTCCATAAAAGAATTTCTCATTTAGGTAGATGTTGAATTCTCTGATCTGGTTGCCTAAGAGCTGAACTTCAGCAAAGTGAATGTAAAAATAATACTGGGAAGTGGAATCCTTGGAATAATTCCAAGAATAAGTAATTTCTTCATCATTTGCTGGTATGCAAGCAGAACCCATTACAACGACTGGTGGTTGGAAAGTCGTAGCATTCAGAACCTGCGCATCAACTGGGAATGTTTGGCTTAATGTTTCCCACTCAGGGATTTTTCTGGGCATCCAAATGCGATCATATTTATCATCTTTGTACCTAGTGAGACAATAAATCACCAATTATAGAAATACAATACCTTATACCTCACACCATAAATAGAGATAAGTAAATGTTTCACCTGACTGATTGATTGGTTGTAGAACAAAAATCATAACGTCTTTGGAGTAGAAGTGAATCAGACAGACTCATAGTGGTGTAAATTGCACTATCCAAAAGCCTAAGCCCTAGCGATGATATGAACGGTGTTCCATGACCCGTATTAATAAGACAGACAAATATATAACTCGTTGAAAGCACATGAATGATCTCTGCAGTTACACTTCCTGAGTGGTCTTCCAGGCTCAGTGCCACTGTTTGCCAGAGATCAACTCCCAGATAAAGATCAAACTGTGGCACACTATTCTGGTTGTCATAGTTCCCATACATGAAACGGGCTCTGATTAAATACCTATTATTCTTTCCTTGTGCAGGATATATGGTGTAACAATTTCTTATACCTTCAGGGAAACTTCTGACATTGTAAAATTGCCGTTCAAGGTCACTGGTCTGGAGTTCGGATAATATACTTCGATTTATTCCACCATCGGTGAAGTTCACATCTGAAATGTACTTTATGCCAGTTTTCTCATCATCATAGCCTGAACCTTCTGGTATTCCACAATCTATGCTAATGAAGCCTAAGAAAGTGACAAACAAAGAGTCAAACAGATCTAGCTAATAAAATTCTTAGACACATAGAGACAGGGTACCGGATTTTGCAGCATCAAACTAATTATATTTCTTAAACATTAAACTTGTGACTTTGAATGCAAATTTCAAATTCCATGAAGCATGATCAAACACTGTTGAGGCAATAACTAATTTTCAGAAAGCAAAAGTTTAGAGGTTCAAACCTGATTGATCCTCAGCGTGAATCAATACAGCAAGAGTGAAACCTACAAGCAATGCATGGTCGAAAGTCCTTAACCCCTTCATCTCCCTGTAATTTGTTCTAAGGAAAGTTAATGTATACTTATATTTATATATACCCATCACTGCTGAAAAAAAAAAATAATAATAAAAAAAATAAAAAAAGATTTCGTGAGTTACAGTCAAATGTCACTGTAGCAATGAGAAAATGCCGTAATAATCAGGATGGTGACTAAAATTCACTTTCCTTATGGTCATCAAGTGTGAAACAAGAATTTCGTCAAGTGTTAAAGCAATTTCTAAGAACCTCACAGCAAACTGAAAGAAAAAGTTGATAAGTTAGCTCTATATTCTCAAATTCAATGAAAAAGTAACGTTTGAAAAAAGAATTTGTATTATGAATAAAGTAGACCGCGGGGGCCGTGAACGTCTCTCGCAAGTTTATGCATATTTTTCTGGCTGACTCTCACTCCTCACGGCACTCAGTAGACCGTTATATCTTGCCCGAAGTAGCTGTTGGGCGTGTTTATGAAGTACAAGCTGAGCCTGTTAAGCCAAATGATATTTTGCTGGAGTAGCTCACTGTAGCTAAATTAAAGTTTAAAAGCAATGAAATGTGTGTGAGAAACACTCGGCTCTTCTGCATTTTTTTCATTGTGTTCATCTTCTTCTTTCCTTTAACATTTTAGTTAAAGCCAACAGAGCCTTTTCCTCTGGGTAAGAAATTAGCAAATTATTAAACTAAGAACCTCACAACAAACTGAAAGAACAAGTTAATACGTTAGCTTTATATTCTCATAATGAATGAAGAAGCCAAAGGGGAAACATGAAGTTCAAGGGATTAAATTAATATATTTATACACAAAACTTAAAGTAGGACCTGGAGTGGCTGCCTGTATATATGTTACATGTATGTCTGCCACTATATTGAAAGTGATGTATGCAATAATATAGTGTGATGATGAAATCATATATGAAATTATGTGATATATAATTTTCAGTAATATTAGGTTCACAACTCAATCTCACAACCTTCTTTTATAATCTCCAACGTGATAGTTCGTAATTAGTTAGATAGACAGGACCCACAATAAGTAGACGGGACCTATTTGTAAGTTGACCAATTATGAGCTACCATGTCGTCAGAGGTTGTGAGAGAATGTTATGATATTGGGTTTTGGACCTAGCAATTTTCTATAATTTTTGAATAATTTGCACATCAATTGGGCAACTCCATTAATAAATACTGATATATCTTTAGTTCAATAAACACATATACATAGACCGATAGATTTTTATTAATTAAGGAAAGTGGCAAATAAATTATTCACTGAATTTTTTAAATCCTGTTCTCAATTAAAGGACAAGAATATCACTGTTCTTGTTCATTGAAAAGAAAAAAAAAAAAAAAAGAAACTAATGTATGAACAATTGTCAGCAGAAGCAGCTAGGATCAAAACCGGCCCATTCAATTATTCACTACCGACATTTTCCGAAATTTTTTTACCTTGCTCCGGGACATGATACACTACCAAGATTCATACTAATCATCCGATCAACCGAGTCATTTGAATCCAAACCATGGCCCGACTGTGTCCTAGCCATCTCAGAAGCCAAACACTCACTCAACTCCGTCAAACTTGACTCATGGTTGGCCTTCTATGACCAGTAAGAGCTAAACAAGCCATTGCTACTTCAACAGCTTTCCACACAGAATTAAGGCTGAAGTCTCCTTGTAATCTTGAATCAATAATGCTCTTTATGTCACCTTTGGCAACCAAAGAACTCACCCAATCTCTCATGGGAATCTTCTCATGCTCGTCGATTCTCGCAATAACTGGCTTGCAAGTTATTATCTCCAAGAGAACGACACCGAAGCTGTACACGTCGCTCTTTTCTGTTAACTTGTTTGTCGCATAATACCTGCATATGCATATCAAATTATGAAACTAGTACAAATATTTGATCGGAATTCTTTATTTTAAAGTCTAGACCCTGATTCTTCGTACAAATACAAAACCTTTTTAATAAGTCCAAAAACAAAACCTTGCGAGTTATGGGCCACATCAAATATGTGGCCTAGTTTCTTCAGTTTGCTGCTTTATTTTACTAATCTTTGCGAGTTAAGAAAAATATTGGGGTAACAGGACCAATGACTTTGGTGAAAACCAGATAAAAAATGGTGAATTCTATGTACTTACTCAGGGTCAAGGTATCCTGGAGTGCCAGCCACAATCGTGGACACATGAGTGTTATTTTCAGTGGGAAAAGACTTAGACAGCCCAAAATCAGCAAGTTTGGCCTGGAATTTTTCATTTAATAAGATCTTTGTGGACTTCACATCTCTGTGAACTATTGCTGGCTTGCAGCCATTATGCAAATATTCAAGTCCTGTAATTTTAATCAATTCAATTCAAAGTAGCTAGTTAGTTTACTTCACAACCAACCAAAAAAAAAAAAAAAAAAAACAAAATGATGCAAATGACCATCTGCTATCTGACCTTGTGCTGATTCCACTGCCATCCGAAGTCTTCCTTCCCAACTCAAGACGTTTCTTCTACTATCTGCATCCACTGGACAGAAGTAGATATTGATCCTCAGAAGCCATGCGCAAAGTATATGACAAATAAAAGATAAAACAATATGGGCAGTGAAAGACACACACACACACATATATAATACATATGGACTCTTCCACGGAAATGACTACTGCTCAGGAAGGCCATGAGTTGAAACACAACAACGTATGGTAGAAAATAAGACAAGTGAAAATTTTAGAACACTGCAATTCCTTGCTATTGGTAAAGCTATCCTTCAATATAGCTCTATACCGGGGTTTTGCAGGACTTGAAAGGAAGTTCATCTAGAAAAATTAAGAGATACTTTAAAGGAGTACCTTAATCCTTGTCCCAGAAAAATTTATTTAAAAACTTCACAAACATCTAAGTATCTTCACAGGTGCAATAATAACAGTCAAAAAGCATGAGAAAAAGATTTTGTTTCAAACGTTGAAAACCAAGCATTAAAAAACAAGTAGTTTTTTGGTTCAAGATAGAATGACAACATTGGTATTTTGGTATGCCCTTCTCTCTTCATGTTTCTCTGTAATCCTAGGGAATAATCTTCTTCTATTTAAGAAATCTCTAAGCAATTAAGGAGACCCTTAGAGAGTCACTATTAACAAGAAAGCAATAGAAGAGAAGAAATACTAGAACAAAGGTACCAAGGACATGAGTTAAAAAGGACATAAATTCTCTAGAAGCCAGAAATATTTGGCATTGTTTGTTACAATAATGCATTTTCTTAAGTGTACTACCTTGCTTGCAGAGATGATTCACTATCGAAATTGATACCGTTTATTTCTCCTGTAATATCAGGCTCAATGCCACGACTGTTCTTTTTTCGAGCTAACTCCATTGCCAAGCACTCTTTCAATATTACCACTACTTCATTCATATTTGGCCTTTATGACAGGCACAAGTCAGTGCTAGCTCAACAGTCTTCTTTGCAGAAATAGCATCAAACTCTCTCAACAAACAAGGATCAATAATATCTTCAATATCTCCTTCTGCAGTCATGGAAGTAACCACCTGACTTATGTGAATGTGTTCCTCTTCATTTTCAGCTTCTGCTACCACTGGGCAGCTTCTGATTATCTCCAGAAGAACAACCACGAAACTATAAACATCACTTTTCTCGTTCAATCGATTTGTTACATAGTACCTAAATAACAATTAATAAAATAAATAAATCAAAGCTCATAAAACAATTTGATTAGAATTTCGTAAGATGACCGGATGAAAGTTTGCTTACTCAGGGTCAAGGTAGCCAGGGGTTCCAGCAACAACTATGGACACATGAGTGTCACCTTCTATGGGGAAAATTCTGGAGAGGCCAAAATCAGCTAATTTGGCTTCAAATTTTTCGTTCAATAAGATGTTTGTTGACTTAATATCTCTGTGGATTATGGGCGGCTTACAGCTTTTGTGCAGGTATTCTAATCCTGTGTTTTGAATTTCAGAAAATGTCACTTTAGCTGAATGCTAAAGGTCTTGTCTAAAGAATTTATTCACTAACCTTGAGTTGCACCCACTGCTATCCGCAATCTGTCTTCCCAACTCACAACAGTTCCTTTTCTATATGTATATGTATATAAAACTGAATCAACATCATCTCGCTTCCTCCATAGTAAGAACAAGTTCTAATAATATCAAGACTAATATATGAGCAAATTAAAAAGTATGCTGTAGTATGCATATATGTTTAGCAAAAAGTTTGAAGGGATCTGACCAAAAAGATGCTGCTGTAGGTTTCCATTAGCCATGTATTCATATATAAGTGCCAAATGGGCGCCCTCATTGCAGCACCCAACAAGATTTGTTAGGTTTCTATGATGTACTCTCATCAGAAGTTTAAGCTGAAATTCAATGCCACAACTATAATGTCAAAATGAAATAAGGCCAAATTATCTGCATAAGTTAAAGTTGCTATGTACCTCTGCCTAAAACTCTTTATGTCGTTTCCTTGAAGAGGAAGAAAGCATTTTCACAACTAGTTGAGTATTGTCATCCAAGTTGCCATGGTAAACTGTTCCAAATCCTCCTCTGCCAAGAACCCTCTTGAAGTTATCAGTAATCTTCAAGACCTCCGAATATGTGAATTGTCGACCTTCAAGCTCAAGTGAAACTTTTGCATTGTCTTCAGAAGCTGATATGATATTCATAAGTTCAACAAGACATTGTTTATGTGTAAGGGTCTTCTTATTTGTAGAAATTTTTATGTCTTCTATGACTTAAAAACTTTTATCGAATAATGCAGAAATTAATATTCCTATACATTGTTGTTTTCTTCTTCTGAGACTCCACCAAGTAGCCAATGCTATTAAGATGATTAACAATGTGGCAGCTGATGCTACTCCTGGAATAACAAACTTGGCTTTGTTTTTCCTTTGGCATGGCACCGATGTACAAAGATGTGGATTCCTAGAAACACTTTAATGTGTTATAGCAGCAGAGGAAAGCAGAAGTTAGAATATCATACATAATTAACTACTAATAATAATCAATTTAATCCCTACAATGTGTGCTATGATTTTTTTCAAAACTTAAAATGAAACACATAATTAATTTTGAATCTCATTTTTCACTAAACTTCTGCAAAGTGAAAAGGGTGTAACATTCAGTACATAGAAATTGCTCAACATGAGTCTATACTAAGAAATTCTCTTGATGTGGCCATTGTGATTTTTGCTAAAAGAGCATATATAGAATACCTTAATAATAGTGAATCATTGTTTGATCTTTCAATGAGTTCAACCGGAAGAAAACTAGTGAGGTTGTTTCCTGTTAAGTTTCTGCAAAGTAGATTATAACAAAAATGATTCTCTTTCACTTCCCTTCCCAGGAACATTTTATTTATAGCCCTCAAAGATGACATTTTAGCTAGAAGTTCTGGAACCAATCCTGTCAAATCGTTGCACGATAAGTCCCTAAAAATTATTGTTCAGTTTTTCATATCAAGATATTTGGAGGGTTTGAAAGCAGTTATCAAAGACAAAATAGGGGTTCAAGTAATGTGGAATTTAGCAGAAGCATGAAACTTTGTATTAAAGGCTGAACTGTTGTTGCAAGAGAAGGGTAGACCAGACTATTCGGGCAAGAATTATAGTGGGCAGAATTATAGAACAAACAGTGAAAAGAATAAGGCAAGTTAGGATGTCCCTGCATGCAATGATCGGTTCAAAGAAGAAAAGGCAGTTGGAAAACAGAAGATGATAGATACAAAAGAAGGGCAGCAAGCTGCTAATCCCTATGCAAAACCGACCCCTAAAAAGTGTTTCAAATGTAACCAAGCTGGTCATAGATCCAACGACTGTCCCCTTAGAAAAGCATTCCATGTTGTGGAACGAGGAGAAGAGGATGATGAAGTTTATTGTGGTCCAGATGGGGATGATGATGAGTATGAGGATGATGAAGATGATGGCCAAAACTATGTGGTGAGGAGACTGATGTTTACGCCAAAACAAGAAGACAACACCTAGCGACATCAATTATTCCGAACCAGGTGCACTATCAGTAACCTTTTATTTGATGTGATTATTGACAGTGGTAGTTGTGAAAACATTATTAGAAGAGATGTCGTTTAGAAATTGGGTTTGAAAATTGGGAAGCACCCCAACGCATACACTATCGAGTGGATTAAGGCAGCGGAGAAACTTCAAGTAACAGAGCGGTGCAAGGTTCCTTTTTCCATTGGTGAAGAATTTCACACAAAGAAAAGAAAAATTAAAGAAAATCAAGAAACGAAAAATAGAGAGAAGAGAGGAAGAGTTCTGGAATTTTCAGTTTCAATTTCTCTAACTGCCGAATAACAGAGCAGGTGACTGATTTATACAGCCTATTTACAATGCGCAGCGTTTTACGCATATTACAAACTTTTACAATTGTTTGTAAACATTGCAATACAGAGATGAAGTATATTTTGATGTTGTGGATATGGATGCTTGTAATTTATTATTTGGCAGGCATTGGCAATTTGATGTGGCAGCACAACATGACGGGAGAGAAAATACCTATAAGTTGGAGAAAGATGGCGTCAAATTCACCTTGTTGCTAATGAAAAAGAGTTACAAAACCAAAGCTTCTAAAGTGGAGGGGTGGACCTTGTTTATTGTTACGCATTTGGGGTCAGAGTCAGAAGCTGCTTTCAAGGCGTCAAGGGTGATGCGTGCACTGATTGTGAAGCAAATATTGACGACTGAAGAGGAGTTGAAGACATAAGAGTACCCAGAAACAATCAAGCCATTGTTAGAAGAATTTAGTGACGTGATGCCGGAGGAATTATCCGACGGGTTACCACCTACAAGGGATATTCAGCACCATATTGATCTAATTCCTAGAGTTAGCTTGCCAAACCTACCTCATTATAGGATGAGTCCAAAGGAGAGCAAAATTCTGAAAGAAAAGGTGGAGGAATTATTAGCAAAAGGGTACATCCAAGAGAGCATGAGTCCATGTGCAGTTCCTGCCTTACTAACGCCAAAGAAAGATGGGAGTTGGAAGATATGTGTGGATAGCAGAGCAATAAATAAAATTACTGTAAGGTACAAGTTTTCGATTCCTAGGCCGCATGACATGCTTGACAGGTTGCATGGGGCAGAACTATTTGCGAAGATTGATTTGAGGAGTGGATACCACCAGATTCGAATTAGACCCGGGGACGAGTGGAAAACAACTTTTAAGACAAATGAGGGCTTGTATGAGTGGCTTGTGATGCCATTTGGGTTGTCAAACGTGATAAGTACTTTTATGAGAGTAATGCATCATGTATTAAAACCTTTTATTGGGAAATTTGTAGTTGTTTATTTTGACGATAATCTGACTTATAGTCAAGCAGACGAAGAGCACATTCAACACTTGCGTGAGGTACTAACACTTTTGCAGAAAAACAAGTTGTACGTGAACCTAAAGAAGTGCAGTTTTATGACAAAGAGGTTGTTGTTCCTAGGCTATATTGTTGGGGTAGATGGTATTCGAGTAGATGAAGAGAAGATTCGCAATTAGGGAGTGGCCTACCCCAAAAATAGTAAAGGATATACGAAGTTTCCACGGGTTGGCGACCTTTTACAGGCATTTTACCAGAAATTTCAGTAGTATTGCAACACCTCTTATAGAATGTCTGAAGAAGGGAAGTTCCAATGGAGTGAAAAGGTTGAAACTAGCTTGGTTGTGTTAAAGGAGAAACTGTGCATTGCCCCTGTTTTAGCACTGCCCAATTTTGAGGCCTTGTTTGAAGTTGAGTGTGAAGCTAGTGATGTAGGAATAGAAGTTGTCCTTTCACAAAATAAGAGGCTAGTAACTTACTTCAGTGAGAAACTCAACAATGCGATGCGTAAATGGTCTACGTATGATAAGGAGTTTTATTATGTTGTGTGTGCTTTGAAGACTTGGGAGCAATATTTAGTGGGGCGTGAGTTTGTTTTGTACTTTGCCCATGAAGCATTGAAGTATTTAAATAGTCAGAAGCAAATTAGTAGAGACATGCATGCTAGGTGGACTCAGTTTCTGCAGAAATTTCCTTTCAAGCTAAGGCACAAAGTAGGAATACAAAATAAAGTAGTAGATGCTTTGAGTAGACGCATTGATTTATTGGTGACCATGAGACAGGAAGTTGTGGGGTTTGAGACAGTGAAGGAATTATATGAAATAGATGAAGATTTTCAGAAGATATGGGAACAGTGTGTTACAAACCAATCTGCTGGAGATTTTCACATTCATGATGGGTTTCTCATGCGAGGAAACCAGCTTTGCATCCCTAAAGTTTCCTTGAGAGAGAAGCTTATTCGAGATTTGCATAGTGAAGGTCTTGCTGGTCACCTCAAGCGTGACAAAACGCTTGTTGTAGTTGGTGATCGATAGTATGGGCCACACTTGAGGAGAGGCGTGACAAAATTTGTTCAACGATGTTACATATGCCAAAGTGCCAAAGGGTAGTCCCAAAACACTAGTTTGTATATGCCTTTGCCTGTTCCAGAAAATATTTGGGAGGATCTATCTATGAATTTTGTGCTTGGATTGCCTCGGACACAAAGGGGCGTAGATTCTGTTTTGGTTGTGGTTGACAGGTTTTCCAAGATAGCACACTTTATTCCTTGTAAGAAGACATTAGACGCAAATGAAATAGCCAAATTGTTTTTCAAGGAGTTTGTCTGTCTGCATGGAGTGCTTAAATCCATTACTTCTGATTGAGACAACAAATTCCTTGGCCATTTTTGGAGAACATTGTGGAGAAAGTTCGATTCGTCTCTGAATTATAGCAGTACGGCTCATCCATAAACTGATGACCAATTGAAGTTGTGAACAGAACTCTTGGCAATTTGATTCAAAGTATCCGTGGAGATAAACCAAAACAGTGGGATGTAGCCTTATCACATGTGGAATTTCTACAATAGCGTTACTCATAGCGCCATTAGAAAGTCTCATTTTTCTATTGTGTACACCAAGCCCCCGTAACATGCCCTCGACTTAATCAAGCTGCCGAAAGTTCCTGGTGTTAGTGTAGTGGCAGAAAGTATGGCTACTCAGTGGCAAGATGTTCAAGCAAAGGTGAAGAAGAAGTTAGAGCAAGCTAATGCCAAATACAAGAAAGCTGCAGACCAACATCGCAGAAAACAGATCTTTGAAGTTGGCGATCAGGTTATGGTGTTTCTTAGAAAGGAAAGGTTCCTAGTAGGGGCGTATAGCAAGTTGCAGCCTAAGAAGTATGGGCCTTACCAGATTTTGCAAAAGATCAATGATAATGCCTACATTGTGGATCTGCTAGACACAATGAGAATTTCCAAAACGTTTAATGTGTCAGATATTTACCCATTTCACTCCTCTGAGAAACCCTTGTATCCCGATACCTAACTTAACTCAAGGTTGAGTTTTTCTCAAGTGGAGGGGACTGACGTAGAATGTCTGGCAGATGAATTCATGGAGTGGGCTGAACGTGAGAAGTACGTGCGTAAAGTCCAAAGGGCCTAAATGAGCATGCCCCATTCAAATGGCCATAACTTTTTATCCGAGAAGAGTTACGGGACCTGTAAGATACCCTTGGAAAGCTTATTTCGATTCCGTTGACGTGGCAACTACTTTAGCTGGTTGAAGGTCATTTTCGATGTCAAAATCCATTGCTTTTGCATGTTTCGAGGCTGGTTTAGTTAATTGCGCGTTTGTTTCTATT